AGAAATTCCACTGCATTTTACAATTTTTGTCATTACATTGAATATTTCTAGATACATCTTCGCCAGCCAAAGTTCGTTCATTCAGTCATCGCTTCAATTTTACATCACTGAGCATAATTATCTAGAATGGAAGCAAAAAAATAAGTAAATCGTAATGATTAGAACACTGTAAACAGCTATAGTAAACAATGCAAACTGATTTTAAATTGTATAACGGTCACCGGCCAACGGCATCGACGCAGAAAATTGGAGCAAACAAATATTTCCTGATCAATTGCGATGTGTTCCAAATAAAAAATATTTTATTCCAGCCCAAATCAGCTCAATTACTTTAATAAAGAGTTATCGTATAATGTACAAAATGTTGATAAAATTTGATGAATATTTACAGCTTCAATACCGTAGACGATTTTGGCCCGATCGTCAACAAAACATCAGCCGTCTCCAGGGCAGGCGACTGGAAAAAGACACTGGTGTTCGGTCGAACCGGTGGAAACAAAATCGTCACTCCGAGAATAACTATGCGAAATAACGATCTAAAGTCGAACCATTCGAGCCACAATATTAACATAAAAACGACTTTCGTTTGACAATGATAAACTTACCGAAAAGCCCGTGTTTATTCACGGTCGCTAACGTCGGTATAATCCGCCATTTTATTTGAGTGTTTGCCACCTGACTCTGCCCGGTGACGTCATCATGTGCGCTATAGAAGGAGGTCTATGATTCGTTGACTAAAATCGTCGATAGTGGGTCTCGTTGAAATCTCGTTACATAGGCATCGGGTCAGATGTAGGTAGGGCGGAATTAAAAAAAATCACAAAATCAAAATCAAAGTAAAATAATGAAATAAAAGGGCATCAATAACAAAAGTAATAAAAAATTAAATTAAAATAAGTTTATAGCCAAAATAATTAAAGCCCGTACACTACATCAGATTTTAATCAGATTGCAGTTAATGGTCCCATGGAATTCCAAAACGATGGGTATTCTTCCGCTAAGGTGTGATTTGTACGGGATGTTGATCTGAACTGACCTCGTTTGCACAAGGAATGTTCATGAGGACTCACATGCATTGTTCATGAGTACCTGTACTGTACAGAACATTGATGTGGGCTGACTTGTATTGGGAAAGATTTCCCTTTGTACCCCCATCACCCCTAACACCAAACCTACCACTACCCACCAGCACTCCCCAATGTAATTGTATATGTAGCTCCTAAGGACGCCTATAGTTATCTTGAGGGGGCATATACTATTGAATTGGAGGGCTTGGGGAAGGATACAAAGGAACTGCATTGTACAGGACGCTCAAGACGATCTTGGTTGACTTTAATTGCGAAGGATGTTGATTGGGCGTAGACTAACATGTGTTGCACAGGACGTTGACGTGGACTGATTTTTACATCTGTTTTTTTGAATGTTTGAAAAGAGTACACAAATTTAAAAGTTCTGTGACAGAATGAAACTACGATACCCAAACTACCTGAAATGTATTAGTTGAAATGGTTTCATTGAGGAAGTAGCATAGTTGCATGTTTCCCTGTATGTAAACTCGTCCACCCACGTGACCCAATCTCATTAATGCATCAATGTGTTGTAGCTGTTCATTGTAAAGGAGTAGAATATTTCCTCCAATAAATTCGAGATTGTCAAGTCCCGATAGATGGAGCAATTCCTGTAATAAAGCGATATATATCAGTGAAAACAATTTTAATGATGATCATTCTCAAATGTTCTAATTATCAATATTAGCGCAATCCCGATTCCCGAATCGATAGCGTAAGTTAGTGCGTTTATTGTTTTTGCACTTGTCTACAAACCAGAAGATAGAACAGATTTCGAATGTTCCACACGTCACAGTACACCGCTTATCAGTGTTTCCAACTCGTAGCGCAAAAAATCCCCTCAAATAAAAGTACCATAATCTTTAAACTCGTCAGCCTCTGAAAATGTGCACAGTATTCTGTCTAAGCAAGAAAAATAAATATGCAATATATCTTTGGCTATAACGTAATATTTCATAGGGTACTTGAAATCTGAAAAACACGTCATATTTACTCAGCGAAACAAACACGTACTATCTTCTTTCCAGTACATTTTCTCTGCAAAAATCATTTGTTCAACTGGTAATCCACGTTTCTCAACATTCTTATTATTTATATAAGTCTTTTTGTACCGACCCATTCCCACTCCGCCATTTATTAAAAACCGTTTCAATTATGCTACTGACTTCTTTCGGGGTTGCATGTCTATTGTTTCTCTTGATATTTTATATTTTTGTTTTACCCTCGCCTGCTGCTTTTTGGGTTACGCATGCGCAAAACGAATTGGTGTTTGCATTGGTGCTTTATTATGATGCACTAATGCTTAATCAAACTTAATGACATTGATGAAATATCAGGTGATACATACCTTATTACCGACAATGTAAAGAGAGCCGCCAATAACTCGTAAACTTGACATATCGTCCAACGTTTGAACGAGCATTGATAACAGGTACACGTCTCCATCAACTCGAGTGAGATTACGGAACTCTGTTAAATTTCTCAATTTTATATTCCGTTCCACACGAAGATTACCTAGAATGAACAATTAAATGTGTGGACGTAGTATAAATAATGTGTACATGCTGTATAAATAATACATTGCATAAATATGTGCGTGTTGTGTAAACAATGGTTATTTAATTACCTTTAATATGCGTAACATCACGTAAAATAGCAACATCTAGCAAAGAGGGATTGTTTCTGATATCAATACTTTCTATCCATCTCAAATTCTCATCTCCATGGCGACCACCAAGACTAACAGTTGTTGCCAGATTTTCATTTCTCCAAATGCGTAGATTACCGATATGGTGAATGTTTTGTAATCCCTGCAGACTCCTTAGTGTGGGCACTTTGACTATTGATAATTCATTGCGTACTACCTGAATATGTTGGGAACAGATTTCTGTGATTAGCATATTTTATCTTACATTACGTCACTATAGTTTATAGCCTATCACGTTAGTGTAACTTGAGATTGCCCGCAAGAATGTAAACTTGTCTCACGTGTGAGTCAACGCTAACATGGGGCAGTAGTGTTTAGACCACACAATAAAGTAGTCGTCCTTTTCAACATGTAGTAACTGACTTGTTATCTGATTCTGTAAAAGAACCTATACCCCACATTTTTTGGTGCCGGGACCAGGATGACCGATTCGGAAGAACAAGTTATTCAGCAGACAATTACGATGGATGCACGGACTGCTCATCGCGGAAGGATGACGACACTGCTCGCCCGAGCTCAAAATATTATGACTACGTTCAATGCCAAAGACCCAAATCAGTTCTAGGAACTCATCATGCTAAAGAAACGAATTCTTGAAAAGTTTGACACGATAAAAGGACTCGACGCCCTGATTGCTGATAAAGCAGATAGAAGCGAAATACATGCAGTCATAGCTGAAACTGAAGATTATACCGACGATATATTTGCCAAGAAATTCCAAATTTGCAGATTCGTCGAGAGAAATACGCCAGATATCGCCCGCCAACGAAATACTCGAGAACATGTTGCGTGACAACAAATTCTTCCTCCGTTAACCTACCGAAACTCGAACTTCCGATGTTCAGCGGCGATGTTATGAAATGGAAGAATTTTGACAACAATATACATCTTGGTGCGGTTCAGAAGTTCCAATATCTTTGCGCCAAACTGTCCGGTGAAGCCGCACTGACAATTGAAAGATTACAGTTAAGTAATGATAATTATACGCATGCACTCGAACTTTTACGTAAACGATACGGCCAAGAACACAAAATTACCTCTGCGTATATGAAGTCATCATTGTGCGAGTTACCAAAACCGATAAATACCCGAGATAGTCTTCGTACCTTTTACGACAATTTAGAGAGTAGTATACGAGGACTGGAAGCGTTAGGGAAAGCGGAGAACTCCTTTGGTGATTTGCTTACGCCTCTCATTATGGAGAAACTTTCTGGGAACGTTCGTAAACAAATGGCACGGGACCATGGTGATAATGAATGGACACTTCCCGGCCTACGCAAAGCTTTGTTAAAAGAAATCGTAGCAATACAAGCCGGGTACGCAATCGACGAAAGCCAGGACGAAATTCCACTTGTAAGCACCGCCGCCGCATTCTACACGGGTACCAAGACAAACGTTAAGCCATTCACACGTTAATCACAGCGCCCGAGCCTCAGTAAAACGAGAAATTGTGCCTACTGTAAAGGACCGCATTATCATAACGATTGCATTGTAGTTACGGATAAAAACAAACGACTTGGAACAGTCTAACGTTTAATATGTGTACGTAAACACCATACTTCGCTTTGCACTATCAACAATTGGACACCAGGCAAAACCCAACCCGCTGCTGTGCAAAATCAACCTCCTACTCCAACACACGTGAACTTCGCAAAGACGAAAGATATTCCGGCGCTGAGCCAGTCTTATTAAAAACTGCAGTAGCACCTATTTCCGCGGATACCGACATAGTCGCTATATACATATATATATATACCGCGCACGTTGTGGCGTACACTCTGAGTGTACTTCGTGGGGCTATGCAACTTATCTCTGGAACTCCACAGCACTGACACCTAACCAATATACGGGTAACCAGTGGGAAAACAGTCGGCAAATATGAGGACGTCTATATTATAACATTTATAGTTTGATATGAACATAACCAGGGGTAGTAGCTATATGTAAGCTTAGATACCTTACATGCCTAACATGAGATGTTTTTTAAGCGAAAGCGCGGTGGTCGTCGCGCAGCGCGTGTTCGAATTTCATGTAAATAAACAATGTATTTTACACGCGTTGTGTACGTCGCTATGAGTCCCATATCGAACAGGACGCGGTGCGACGACCACCGCCTTTTAATTTCAAAGATAACACGTGACTCAATATTCTAACAGTATTGTTACCAGCATAACTGTGCACTCATCGGAAAGAGCCTCACACTGACCACACACACAGTCTTGAAATCATGGAATCAAACACAATACCTGAATATTTGCAAGCGATTTTAATGACATGACGTCACAACTTGCTGGGTGTCCATCACACGTGACCTCTAGGCCGCCACTCGACAGTATTTGGCTACAGATTCCAGCATCGGTGAGGGCGTTGTTACTTCTGATGCTGATATCTCCTTTACAGGTGGCCTCCAGATTAATAAGAATAGTCGCAGTGCGTGTTTGCTTTTCTCCGTTTGCATTACCATGGTAACGCACATCAATTCGTCTACAAACAGAAAAGTGAATTACCCGATAAAACACATAAATATTGGATGTATATTGTTCTATGATATCTTCTCAATGGCTATTTTAACTTTAGCATTAAAGCCATAACAAATGCATATTGTCCGTCGGTAACTATCCTTCAGTATTTATTATTAGTCGGTACTCACCTTGTTTTCAAGTTTGGTTGGTATTTATAAATATTTTTCATTTTGTAATTGAAGTAACGTACATTATTGATCGCGTTCAGTATTTCGAGTGTATTCATAGTTTTTCCATCTCGTTTTTTCATCAATAAAGATGACGTGTTATTGTCCGAACAAATAGTCTCATTGTTACAAATGAGAAACTCTCTGGTTCCGTCGAATCTTTCCCGAATAAATAATTCTAATGACGTCATGGAGTCAATATCTAAAAATAATGTAAACAAATTAATGGAGGAAACGTTCAACTTGACAGCTGGGTAATTAGTTTCGGTGAGTGTTTGAATTTGAATGATGTTTTCCGATGATATTTCAAAGACGCTGTAAACTGGAGAACTTGTGTGTACGCCATCAACGATCACGAATTTGAAAATTATCCTGACATCTATGACGTCGGTAATAAATACAAGTTTATGTAATTCATTTTGCAATGCGTCGATTCGCACCAACCCAGACAAACTGTACTTCCCGTCGCCCGTGTAACTCTCACGAAATTCAGCTGATAGATTGCGTATGCATAAATAGCCAATCACAGGCCTCGACTCATTTAAAAATTCATGCGGATCACGTTCTGTTTCCATTGTAACTTCTAAAGTGTATGGCCAAACTCCACCATCTTCATCCGTTAATGTCATTCCTGTGGTATTCACCACGTACACATTGTCATATTTATTGTAATGCGTAGCAGTAAACAGCGCCCGCTCATGACCATTCACTAGCAACACTGGAACAAAGTCGTTCATCAGTAAAAACTCAATTCTCACCAAGTTTTGTTGGGATATATTATGGGATGTAATAGTGGTACTAATTTCCCGGCACCTAAATGGAATCATCGTATCTACATTTATATAAACAAGTGAATGTAATATATCTCTGTACAGACCATCGCTGCCAGCGCCCGTAAGACTTAGATCGCCAGTGACTTGATTGAATGTTACGTCAATCTCGCCAGTTGTCATGTGATCTACGCGCAGCCAATCCCTGCACGCTAACACGCATCTAAGATGCTCTGAAATTAGTGGTCCTTCACTCAGAATCAAAGTGTCAATACTACCCTTGAAGTAACTCTTCATATCAGTGGTAGGTGTTGCTGCCATATAGAAGAACCCGTTGACATTTTGAATTAATGGCTGTTCGATCACTTGTACACCATGATATCGCCTATTTATGTATATTTCCACTGAAAAATTGCTACCACGATTCAAAATAAAAGTTAACTGATTTGGCTTTTCAAAATTCAGACCGATTTTTCCAAAAACAACCCTTTTCAACCCGGACTGTGTTCTGTAATGAAAACATAACGTTTGGTTGTAGCCAATTTGCAAACTATAAAGAAGACTTGCAGTGAATGAAATTTTGGAGAATAGCGTACTGGTTTCGTTTTCCTGTGGATTCGATGTTCTAGGCGTGAACCACAAGAACGCCACCAACGACGAATGTTTGTGAGATGGCAATCTCGGGACGTCACCTTTGTAAATGGCGTATTGATTGACGCCATTGAACGTCAATCTGTCTCTACCATCGATGGACTTTATGGAAACGTCGCTCACTGATACCCGATTCTTGTCAGAAACCAGAATTGGAGATGTAAATCCGCAAGTAGCAACCTTTCCCAGTTTATCTATTTCGCTTGAACAAATTGCACTTTCCCCACCATCAATTATATAATCATGAATGACGCCATAGCCTCGACACGGTACAATGCTCACTGTTGCTGAATCCACGTGATCTGGGTAGCGCATGTCAACATTTAACGCTAGCTTGTGTTGACCCTCTAAAAAGTTATATGTCCCCGTGGCAATGTCGTCACCCACCGTGCAATTGTTAGATGAGTTTGTTTCTATAATCACAGTGAACACACCAATTGTAGAGAGCGGGGGTTTCCCGTTATCCTCTGCAACAATTTCTAGTCTGAATATCGCTGATTGGTCCAGGGCAAGAACAGAATCTTGTGTCAAAATTAGGGCGTTTTCATACGATATGCCGAATATGTTGTAATCGTTTCTCAAACGTAAGTGGACAATAGCGTTATGACCGCTATCTAAGTCGGTTACGTTCAATCTGCATAACGGTTGGAGTTTTGGAAACTCAGAATCGATTGTAATCGTGTGTTTGTCCATGGCAAATGTTGGAGCGTTGTCATTGACGTCAGAAACCAGGGCAACAAATTTCACAACAGACTTTCTTGATATACTCCCATGATCCTTTGCGTATATATTGAACTTTAATGGGTTACTTGTTAAAGTGTCGAAATCAACCGCTGATAATAAAGAAACAACCCCAGATGTTGAGTCGATGCCAAAATAATTATTCGGCTCCATATAGTATGACACTGATCCATTTTCTCCAATATCCAAATCCGTTGCTGTTATTTGAATAACAGTTGAACTTGGTGTAAAATCTTCGCCGAACGATACCATGTATTGCCTATTTTCAAAATATGGAGAGTTATCATTGATATCAAGTAATACAATACGGACATTGGTTATCGATGTACATTCCCGCTCAGCATCATTTGCTATCACAGTAATGTCGTACGCAGCATTTTCTTCTCTATCCAAAATGGCGGCGGTTTTTACTACACCTGTTGTGAATCCGACGTCAAAAAGGTCTGAGTTGCTGGAATATTGCAGGATATACTGGATCTTATTGTTGTGTGAGTCGGGATCATCAGTTCGCATCGAGAGGATTTCGGTTCCTATCGGTGATTCTTCTATGACAGATACAGAGATATTTTTACGAGAGAATAAGAGGCAGTTATTATTCAATGTTGCATTCGATATGTCCTGCAAGAAATGATGACATGGAATATTATTTAGGAATACCGCGTGACTATAAATAATGTCACATGCAATACGCGATTGTGTAATCTGTATTAAATGACTCCTATGTGCCTAACGCACTATATGTGTGTGTGTGTGGGGGGGGGGGTGTGGATGTGTGTGTGTGTGTGTGTGTGTGTGTGTGTGTGTTTACTAATATATCACACGTCCACTGTAATAATGGGCTCATACATTCAGTGCAATAATGAATATTGAAACAAGATAATACTAATGTATGAGCATAACTGTAATATTTCAAACACTGTTACAGAAATAAAGATCCAATCAATTCCATCGCAATGCTGTCAAATAAAGTATACAAAGTATTGCCAAAATATAAATTCATCATATATTCATGCCTCAAATACTCTAAGGCAGAAGAAGTTTTTTCTTATAAGGTTTCTTCACTCGTAAAATTGTTGCAATGTATGTACTTGCAAAACACAGTTCTTGGCTTGGCGTGCGGCCATATCATTTCCTCGATTAGTGAATCAAGAGAATAACCATTGTGTGACGTCACAATGACACCGTGGAGTGACGACTTACCTCCAATGGTATTGCTGTAGACATAACCTTATTTGCATTAATAGTCAGATTACACACATACTGCTCCGCTGAGTGTTGGCCACTATATAAACATATCACAATCCTGAAATGCAATCATAGTCAATCTTAAGGTGGACTCGACTAGAAAAGATTTGTTCAATACATAGCACTGCATGTAGACGTATAGTCAACCGAATATATACACATGCCATCACGTAGAAGATAAAATAATATATTATTGATTATAATGCAAAAATAAGGATAGGTTGATCAATCATCCATTGGAACACATACTATTGTCACAAACTTAGGATGAACTAAGGGGCGGAGGTGGGCCAACAAATCTGTACGAGATTGTACAAAATATAATTAACCCCATCTAATTGAGTGATCCATCATAGTGATGCATTCCAATGGAAGAAGGAGCAAATAGATCCCCACCACCACGATCTATTACCCGGAATATTGTAACAATTACTATTATTAAATGAAAATTAGTTTGCTAGTAGATTTTATTAGAAACGTTATGTTTTTTTTTATACGAATCTACATAAATATGTTAATATTGCTAACAAATACGTCATGTACATCCGTGTTCGCGGATAATTTGCAAACCTGATAAGTCTTTGGCTAAATCCTTATTTACCATAACTTATTTACATGAATTAGTAATTAAACAGATATATTAATGTAATTCACATACACCATTAGTTTAGAGTTGAAACCCATGCATATTACTTATTTAAGTTTGTATTAGGTCATTCTCTGATATCTCAATAACACTGTCTAATTAAATTAAACCTGGTGCATTGGTGCTCTGGTGTATTAAACTAACCACAGACTGAAAACCACAGATGCACACCATCGAATTGATTTTTCTTCGTGGATCGCATCAAAGAGCTATATTAGTCGAAATGCTCCTTGCTTAAATGGGTAGCTCTATAATAATTATTAATCCTCATATTCTACTTCATACACAATAATACAACAATACAACATTGTATCTAAAAAATAAAATCAATGTGCCCATTATTAAATGTCATTCTCGTGTAGATAAACGATACACTATAATCGAGTAAGGTTGCTCGTATTTAACACTAGTGACAGACGAATTTATGTTTTTTTGAAGTTATGCTCTGTGAAAAAAACTAAACTAAACTGATACCTAAACTAAATTTATGCTATTAAGGACATCACTTGTAATCATTTTGAGAAATTCAAAATCGCCACAATAAAGAAGAACGTTATTGGAAATCACCATTAATCATTTTCATTGAATCATTTACGGCACCAGAATTTTATTTAGCTGTGTAAATTTCTACCTCGAAATACACTCATATATATACGATGACGTTGTAGTATATATACGCATGCATGCATAAAACCTTCTTATGATATATAATAAGCGATATTTTGTAATCGTTTTTTTAAATAACAATTCAGAATGAAAGGTCATTGGCCGAAATACCAAACTACTTTCAATTGACTCTTATAACAACAATTGCGAAATACCACCCACTATATATATTTATCCGTTTTAACAGCTTGTATCTATTCACTAACCTTCTTGTCGTTAAACTAGGCTGGTCAGCTGTATTGTTGTACCGTACACGTTGTAATATGTGACTGTATACGGAAGATGACGCCTGTCCTGAAATTATTAAATCTAAAAACGAAAGGGAACTTCATTCATTAACTTCATTCATTAAATTCTTGTATTTGAATTGCATATATATATTATAGACTCAACAATTTGATTTACTTTCGTCCCACACGTGTCTGAAACTACATAACCTGTCTGCATATCCATGTTAATTGATTACGCTGTGAGTGATTCAATAGTCAGAATAGTCAGTAATAGAGAAATTGACCGCCATGTAATTCCTTAGACAAACATTCATACACCATATGTACTAATATATTTTCCTATATCTAAGTTTTCAGATGAGGTATAGGTTGCTATAGTAACATGCTTAGTAACTTTTATAAAATATCTAAATCGCACATCAATTTTTAACTAGTTTTCCCGCTTTTGTATGTGTTCATGTTGAGGCATAATAAATGTATCGTCTGCGTGGCTTCTGAGGCAAACGCATAAAACTATATAGCATATTCTTTATAAGCAGGCCGTTGTTGATTGATGTGTTTTGAATACTTACTTGAAGTTTGTGAATTATAGCCTATTGATAGATTCTCATACTGACTGTGGCGTTCTGGGGATAATGCCACTTCCAATGATTGATGTAAACTGTCCGATGTGTCGGGAGTGATTTCAATCCTGGCAAACTGTAGTGGATTAACAATGACAGGCAAAAATACAATGGAAAAAAATTACTCATTGGTAAGTGGTTATTGCAGCACAATGAACTAATGTTGTTGCATTGGGATAAGACAATTAAAATATTGCACAATAACCACGTAGGCATGAGTGGCATCAATTATGAGATGCACATACAATTGACCCACTTATTTTAACAGTTTATGACTTTTGTTATTGTGAACAAACCAACTGTGTTGAATCAAAATAAATAGATACAAGTCAACATACATTTATAAAATCTTATACAGCACTAGCGTTAGGTTAAAATAGTGGAAATGCGAATATTATAATACAAAAAGTGAAATAACTATTCACCGTGTAACTCGATGACTGGAGATTATATAACCACTCTGATGAATTTACATCAATAAGTAGAGTAGATCCCCCATTCACTGTATATGAATTACATCTTATATCATTGCAGTAAACAACATGTATGGTACTGAATATATGTACTTCAATCAGCAATATTATTAGACGTCTGTTAAGAAAAACAACATGTATGGTACTGAATATATGTACTTCAATCAGCAATATTATTAGACGTCTGTTAATAAATAAATACAACATGTATGGTACTGAATATATGTACTTCAATCAGCAATATTATTAGACGGCTGTTAAGAAAAACAACATGTATGGTACTGAATATATGTACTTCAATCAGCAATATTATTAGACGTCTGTTAATAAATAAAACATGTATGGTACTGAATATATGTACTTCAATCAGCAATATTATTAGACGTCTGTTAAGAAAAACAACATGTATAGTACTGAATATATGTACTTCAATCAGCAATATTATTAGACGGCTGTTAATAAAT